TTCTTGTTCAATTAATGGATCGATATCGATCGTGGATGGCTAATCCCGCAAACTTAAACCCAAAAAAAAAAACCATGGTCTTTTTTTGTGATCATTATATTTTCTGTTGTAGTCACATCAAATCTTCATCTACTGGTGGGAAAATTCTCCAGTTTGTTTTTTCTGTAAAGGAGAGATATATCTTGTAGGGTTTGTTTTTTTCCGAGCTATGAAGCAAAACCAGTTTTGGATAAGTTCATATTAATTGTAAATATATTAATTTTTTGACAAAGTGGAATTGAACTTGAGACTGTAGCAAGTTTACGCTAGAAATTGGTTCTAAACCTAAACCAGTGTGTCCATCATATTTGTAAAGTTAATAGCTTAAATAGATCGTTTAATTACTAACAAGAAACACAAATGATGATTAATCCTACCAGTGAATAGTGATGGAACGTGCAAAAAGGTTATGATGGTGAGTTTGTATAGAAGCACTATTTGGTGGGGCAAACTTGAGAGTTAAAAACTCAAAGATGATTATATAGTCAAAAAGCAATAACATTCGCGTGCTTCTTAATTGTTTCTGTTTTTGTATGAATTTACTCTCTCTTTTTTTTTTCTTTATTCGCCACTTCATGTCCATGAATAGTTTGTGCATACCACATTTCATACGATTCATATGAACTGCACTCGTACAAACGACAACATCTCTAATTTGGTTGGTGGCATTCTAATTTACCAAGATATATATTCATATAGTTGGACTATCTGTAACACTCGCACTCCCCTCGATATAAACCAGTAGTGACGGGATTCTGATAACCGTCCGCGCAAGGAGCCAGAGGCGTTACCTTTTTACAAGTTCCACAATCCAAAGATGCATTGTTAAACAAACAACTCCACACCACATGCGATACTGAAGCATCTTGACTCATCTAACCTGTTAGAGGGGATCAAGAGAAAGAAGATAGGGATGGAGGGATGAGTAATTTAGATTACCCATATTAATGAACCTACACTATCCTATCAATGCACCATAACTTAACAAACGCTAAGTTCAAGCCTAAAACAGTACCATAGAAAATCCTAAAGACTTCACACAATATCCTATCAGTCCTTAGGTAACGCCACTGCGAATGCCAGAACTACACAATGATGACTTACACTGTGGCACTTGGGATGCATCCTCCGTAAGTTTAAAGTCGCTACACGACTAGCCCGTCAGCCATGCCTTGGAAGTGCTAAGTACTTCTAGCCATGCCCCCATACCATATGAGTAATACGCGGTCTCCATCGTACCGCCCCATATGATGTCAGGTCTCTCAGTACCCCCCCCCCCCCCCCCCCCCCCTGCTATTGCCACACATGGCTCACGGCAATCACACACACAAAATATTCTCAACTCACGACATCAACTCAACGTCTCAACACATCATCTCAAAACATCGTCTTGACACATCATCTCAATCGTTCACTAAGAACAGATTCTCCACTCGGATCTATTGATCATGGTTTCCACACCACATGATCTTAATCCTCATCTCGAATCACACATAGTCTCAATAATGATCTCACACAATATCTTATTAAGTTCATAACAACCTCTTTACAACTAGGTGATCAAACTGCAAACAAGTGGAACAAACAGCAATCAAACACACAACAATCCGCAATACACAACTAAGATTTGTTTTAATCTCCCGCAACTTCAGTTTTACAACCCTAAACACATCTAGACGATTCACACAACATCAAAAATTTAATAAGACCTAGCTAGGACTCAGTTCTAAAGCAGAAAGTAAGTTATGGTTAGTTTAACCCCAAACTAGACATTCAGAAAAGCAGGACACATAATATTCTAGCACAGATTCATCCTCACCTTGGCCTCAATAGCACAATGGTTTGGGGGACAAGAATAAGGGAACTTGCGGCGTAGACATCGTGGTGGCTAGAGACGACAGATCCAAGCGGTAGCTGAACACGCATGGTTGGAGAGCTTCAATCGCCTCACCGAATCGCCGTGGCTCGTTGGAACATCATGGTGGGGCCAAGGAGAGAGAGGAGAACGCCCAGGGAAGGAGGGGATTAGAGAGAGAAGGCGACGAAGATAGGGTAAAACGTCCAAAGGGAAGAGGAGAGAGAGAGATTAGGGTTTTTTTGCTTTTTTGGAACTTTTAGAATGAAAAATAATAAAGAGGAAGACTCTCTATTAATACCCACTGTAATACTTAAGCACAAAGCAAGAGATAAACATGAAAAAAGAAAGATAATTATGAAAAGAAGATATATACAAATCTTTTTAGGAATATATTTATTAATATCACATTAAAATTTAATATTTATCTAAACCAGAAATATTTATCTCTCGAAAAAAAAATGAAATATCGAAAAATAGAAATTGAAGTTTAAACCGTTTTGGATTGAATTTTCTAAACGGATTTGGTTTAAAAAAACGGGTCGTTACACTATCTCCAATAGTAAAGTATTTCTTTTGTATTATGTTCTAAGTTAGAATTTGTTTCAACTGGATGTGGAGATTATCGTTTAAGAATCGGTAACTAAGTTGAAGTGGAATTATTGTTTATACAAAAGACAGCCATGAAATTTACGTATTGGGAAAAGGTGAAAAAGTTTGAGAATGGGTATTTTCTTAAATATTTTTTATTATTAATTTCTATATTTCAGTATTTAAATTGAATAAAATCCTTATTTGTTATATACATACAAATAATTTCGTACACAAGGTCATCGAATGACATGTTACAAATTTATTATTTATCCCACAACAATCTCTCAACTCTCATCTGCTTAAAATATTTTTATAATCTTTAACTTTAAGTCTTATCTAACATAATAAAAGAAGAATTTAGCAGAAAACAATGCTAATCGCAATATACAAAGTAAAATTAATATGATACATCCTTAAAAACTTTTTCAACGATGATAACTTCAAAAATATGATACAAAATCAAGTAACAAAGAAGAAGAGAAACACATTAAGCAAAGAATTAATGAACTACACAGAGAAATCAAAGAAAGTAGAAGCAAACAATGTAGTAAACAAAGAAACCAATAAAACGAAGAAGCAAACAATGCACTAAACAGAAGAATCAAAGAAGTAGAGAAACAAGTTAAGCAAAGAATCACTGAACTAAACAATGAAATCAAAGAAACAGTGACCATCAATACAGAGAAATTAAAGAAGCAAAGAAACAAGCAATGCAGTAAACAGAGGAATCAAAGAAGCAAAGAAACAATCAATGCAGTAAACAGAGGAATCAAAGAAACAAAGAAACAAGTTAAGCAAAAAATCAGCAAACTAAACAAAGAAATTAAAGAGGCAGAGGCAACCAATGCACTACAGAAGAAAATATTAAATGAAGACGCAGGGCGGGCTCAGTAATATTAGGGGCCTTTGGGCAAAAAAAATTTTTGGCCCCTATATATATAACTAATTAAGTTTTGTTAAAATATATTATTAAAAATAAACTTTCAAATTATAATTTTTTAAATAATCTATCTAATTTTATTTATTTTTGTTTGACTTCTATATTTTAAATTATAATAACTTGTATGCTATATATTTTTATTACTATTTAAATCTAAATTCAATATAACCATGCACTAAATTAAAAAAAATTGGGCCCCTAAAATATTAACAAATAAAAAAATAGGCTCTTAATATTATCAGATCAAAAATTTTGGACCCCTAATATTATCAGATTTGGAGTGGGCCATGGGGTAGTGCACCTATTGTCCCCCCTCCTAAGCCGGCTCTCTGAAGACACAAGCAAGTAGAGCGTGTAAAGAAGCAGTCAATGAAGCAAAAAAGAAAGAAAGAAAGCAAGAAAGTAAACAAAAGAACCAATGAACAAGAAGCAAACAATCAAGTAAGAAAATATGCATGGATGCTTATGCATGTATATATTGAGTTGATGAGAGCTTATGAATGTGAAGAATTATATTTACTCTCATGAAGATGAATATACAAAGTACAAACATTTATATAGTGATAGAGTTTACCTAATTATCTATCTAATAGAATCATATAACATAAATACAAATTCATAATATTTTCATTAATAACATGAATCTTCTAGATCCTTCTATACGCCTCCTCAAGCTCAAGCCGGTGATGGAGAAAAGCGGAGTTAGTGGCTTGAGATTGACAATGGAATCCAACCGTGATAATGAGGCGGAAGAGTAGCCAATGAGTTGCGGAGATGGAAGATCTTGTATTGGTGAAGCATAACGGCGGACGGTGGGAGGCTTGACTGTGAGGCAATGCAATAGGCAACGGACGTGGAGCCACGTTATTCGTCTTTAGTGGTGAAGGGAGGGGAGATGAAGCTTGTTGCTTGGAAAAAAAGAAAATTTTTCTTTTTCTTTTATTTATTTTTTAGAATAAAGAGAAAGAATCGGAAATGAAAAATAAAACAAGTTTTACAGCTTAAAGATTTTTTTTTTGTTTTTTAAAGAAAAAAAACAAATAAAGAAGTTCGATGACTTGGATTCAGAGGCACTTAAGCTTGAATTATAGAAGTACAAAACTTAATTCAGAGGTCTATGATAGACTTCAGAGCCGGTCCTGAGAATTTGTAGGCTGCAAGCCCAAACCAAAAGTGGGCTGCATTGGTTTTAATAAAAAAAAATTCTTTTACATATCAGAGATTCAAACTTATGACTTTTAGTAAAAAGAAGAGGTCATTTGCCACTAGACTAAAGATATTTTTCAGCAAATGGAGGCCAAAATATTATATATAAATATGGGGCCGCAAGCCTATGCTTGCTCTGCTTGGGTTCAGGGCCGGCTCTGATTGACTTGAATAAGAAGAAGCTCTATGGCTTAGATTCAGAAGGCTTAGATTCAGAAGTTCATGATGAACTTGAATACTGGAAACACTTGATTTAATGATAAACAAAATAAAAGAAGCACAATGGCTTAAACAAAATTTAAAAGTCAGGAACGGAGCCGATCGTTAGATATTTTGGCTCCAATACCGTATTGAGTTGATGAGAGCTTATGAATGTGAAGAATTATATTTACTCTGATGAAGATGAATATACAAAGTACAAACATTTATATAGTGATAGAGTTTACCTAATTATCTATCTAATAGAATCATATAACATAAATACAAATTCATAATATTCTCATTAATAACATGGATCTTCTAGATCCTTCTATAGTATAGATGATTGATTGCAATGTGTTTGGAGATTCAAGAGATCCACCAAGATCGCCCTATCAATGAAACTCAAGGAGAATATTGTTAAAGTAGTTGAATGTATTATATATAAACATAGCGTAAGTTCCGTCATACGTACCTCTGTTGATTTTGTTATTGATGAGTAGGTAAGCCATAGTGACTATGATTCTATGAAATCTGCTACTGCATTAAAAACAAACAAATAATTTTTTTCAAACTGTAAGAGCAAAATCGAGATGAGTAAGATTAAATACTTTTCTCATATCCAAAAATTGCCTTTCAAAGTTTTGTCATACCTAAAGCATTGTAAGTAAATTTGATCATAATGGAGTTATCGGCAGAAGAAAAAAAAAAATGAATGTAACTTCAAACGACTGAGCATAATAAAAAGAGGGAAGACACAAACCTGGCAGTAGCCGTGGGCATTAAACTTCAGAAACTAGAAGATGATTAGATGACACTCGAAGATGATTAAACCTGAAAAGGACAATGTAACTTCAAACTATAAGAGCAAAATCAAACGGCTAAGAATAATAAAACAATTTTTTATACAACATCCAACAGATATTTATTCACGACGTGTTAAGAAGGTAATAATACCTTATCTGATTTAGAATAGTCATGACTGTAAACAAGTAGTAATCGATCTTTTCAGTTTGTTCTTCAGCTAGTTTTCACCTAAAAATGTTAGACTAATCAAAAGATAGATGATCAATTGAAAGGAAACAATACAAGTACAACACAACGTCCTTCATGAATGGTTAATTGATGAAGTGATACCTTATATACACTTATTTTCTCTGTCATTAAGTCAAAACGTATTTCTTCTAAATTTCTGCCACCGCGAATCCACGACCAGTCTTGCTGGAGATTTGTATGGTGAGCTTGACAAATATTTCTAGCCTTCTTTGCTGGTTGCTGCTGCTTCTCTAAAGATTCCACAAAATATCATTTATACATAAATATATTTCATAAGGAGGAATTCTGAGTTTTGCCAACATACATTTTCGCATTTTGCTTTGGCTTTGCTACTTGCGTTGGTTACTTCCGCTGTGCCTCCACTTTAATCCGCGGGATTTGAAGCAGTCTTGGCGTTTCTGTTAGCTTCATCATCTGAATCGAGCGAAAATCCCTCCAGAGTGCCTAATGGGCATCTGCGTAAATCAGTTAACCAAATCCACAATAGTGCTACAAGAAGACAAGATACAAATAATGTCTTTTCACTCTACGCAGAAACAGAGAAATCGAGCTGACCTTCCATCATTGTTTCTGCTTCAAAGACATTAGATTGTCGTGTCAGCTGGATGAAGTCCTTCATAATAGCTTCAATCTGGCAAGGAAACGTATGATCCAAAAATTAGGCTATTGACTGTTTCAATCTATGTTTTAGTTTCCCAATCAACGGTTAAAAACTAGTTTCACAGAATATACACAGCTTTAAGATGGTACTGGGATACATAAGCGTTACAACAAGAAAGCGTAAAAGAAAGTACCAACCTTTGCCTCTGACTGACCCACGTTAACCTGAAACATGAAATGATAAGTGTTAGTAAACAGACTCCAGTTAATCCATTGATTCTATTACGTGTTACATGTGACATAATCAGTTCTGTTAATAGGCATAGCTTATTCAAAAAAAAAACACAGAACCATTTTGAACACTAGAAGAATCAAAAAGAGTGAAGCCATGTACAAAGATATATAAATATTAGTGTGTCACCCGCCGCATAGCAATGATATATAAACGTCGAGTGTAAAGCCATGTACAAAGAAACATATTTACATTACCTTTGTACGATTCACCTTCTCAGAAAGCACCAAAGGCAATCTTGAACTTGAGCCCTGAAATTTAGTAAATTCCGTCATTAAAGACAAACCAGAGAAGAAACAACAATAGTAGTCCTAGCACAAGGTCCTTACAGAAGAAGGCTTGGTAGTATTCTTATCCGTTGTTACTTCCTCGGCTACTATGCCATCTGTATCTTTATCTGCATGGTAAAGGAACCGTTACATTCATTTAGAAGAATCTTAGACTCACAAAACTTTGGTACAATTCATACATTCACTTATCAAAATTTCTTGTCAACTGTTTTCTTTCTTGTGAAATCAAAATCAAAAACACCAAGCAGAAGACAAAAGGATTGAATAAGCCACACCACGATCCGGCCTCTGAATGATCTCTAGAATTCGTTCGCGATCAAATCTGTAGCTTCCTCGGTAATATACGAATCATTAAAAAAAAGCCACAGAAAACAACAAACGATTAACAAAAATTCCTAATAAACTGATATTGGGGGAAATAGTAAAAAATTGTATCGGTGAGAAAGAAGAAGTAGGAGATTTTACTTGTTTCATGGTGATTAGATATGAACTTAATCGGAGAGGCAGCGTCCACCTCGAGCCATGGATGGTCTTTTCGCAGTTCTCTCTGTCATTAATTAAAGAAGCGAAGGGAGGGATTCGCCAAATTCAAGCCTACGTATGAAAAATCAGATGAATCTTATCAATTCCAAAGTTCTCATAACTCTTTGGGTTTCTAAGAATAGCCATAGATTTTAGGAACTAAGATGCTAATGTTCATACAAATTGCGATTCGGTAAAAGCTTAAAACAAACAGAAACAAAAAAAAAGGAAGAAAACAGCAAAACAAATTCGATGAAAATCCAAAATCATAACAAAATCGCACACAAAAAAAACGGCAAAATTGATTCAGAAACGTAACTCTGTTGACAGAGAAGGAGAGGAGAGGAGAAGAACAAGAAGAAGCTAAGCGAAGTTCCGTTATTGAAGTCATTGTTAAAGCTTTTTCAAATTTCAATTTCGAAAAAGCCCAACGACCAAGACGAAAAAAGGCCCATTTCAATAAAAATTACTGCGTTACCCAGCAGAGACGTGAGAACTTTGATGTGCAAAAAAGTAACCGTTGGAAATAACTAAACCGGGATTTTGAAAATTAGTTTACAAAAACCCTGAAATCTTTGTGGTTAACCGGCAAATCCATCTCGTCTTTAACGGTATAACCAGTCTCAATCTACGTTATTTTCAACGGTTATTTAAGCTATAGATGTATATATAACTGGCGAAATGTTTCAAAAGAAAGCCTCATATACCATTTATTTAAATTAATTTAAAACTCTACCTTTTTTTAAACACTAATTTATTAATTTATTGCAAATTACAAGAACTGCAACGATTCTACAACAGTTAATTCTACCGTCTTATGAAGATTCACGACTAACGGCTCTATCTACACCCTGCATGCTGCACCATGCTTTATTCTTTATTGATTTCCTAATTCTTTATTGATTTTCTTGAAATTGTACCTTAATCATATTAGGTATACTAGATATTTATCCGCGCTACGCTGCAGGATATTTTTTTAAATTTTGTATATATTTTAATATAATAAATTATTTTTAAAATATAAATGAGAATTATATTTGTTTTTTTATTAGCTTAGGTTATATATTTATATGTTTTAAATCTGAATAAATATTGTATATTTTTTTATTTTTTTTTCAAAATTATAATTTGCTATTAAATTTGTTTAACTAACTAATTATAAGTGTATATATAAGAATAAAGCAATACATTTTTAGTACATTCATGCTAATGGCAAATGTAATCTATTTTCTCCAATAAATTGCCACTTGATCCTCTTTTGTAATTATATAAAACAAAATGCAATTTAACAAAAGTTTTATTAATTAATATAATTATCTTGAATTATAAAATTTATTTATTTATCAAATAGTTATTATAAACATATGTTTCTAAAATTACCAAACTATAATCAATAACATTCATATCAAATCATTGTTATTGCTTTAGAGCAAAATAGAAAATTCTGGTTTGAACTATTCAAATATCGTTTTAGTTGAAGTTAAATAACTAAATTTTGGTTACTGTTAACATATTTTAACTTGGAAATTTAGCACATTTTCTTACAAAAACCAAGAAATCCCATTTTCCTTCAAAACCCAAAATCTTCATTTTCCCATTAAACTGAAAAATTGCCTATTCCTGCCAAAACAAAAAAAAATCATTTTTTGTCAAACCTAAAATTTCATTTTTCCGCGAGAACCTGTGTTTTTTTGCTAAAACTGAGAAATTTTATTTTTCACAAAAAAAAAAATCATCTTCCTACAAAAACTAAAAAAATATATATTTTCTCGTCAAAACCGAACAATTTATTTTCCTGCAACAACTAAGAAATCGTCTATTCCCACTAAAACTAAAAAATTCATTTTTTCGTCAAACCAAGAATCACGCTTTCTTACAAAAACAGATAAATTATAATTTTTCGCAAAAACCAAAAATTGCGTTATCTCCTATGAAATTGTGTTTTCCCGCGAAAACTAAGAAATTGTTATGTTTTTATCGGTTCAAATTTTTGCTGATATGTAAGCTTTTTAAGGTTTTTTGCATTATTGTCATGGAAGATGGTTGATGCTGAGCCTACACTTGTTTCAATCATATACGTCTCTGTCAAATGAACATATAGATACAAATTTTTTTATTATTTATTTGCTGTTATTTATTATTGGAGTTTGGGTTTGGCAAAAAAAAAACGAAGATTTAATTTTTTATTTATTTTTATTTATTATTTGGGTTTGGGTTTGACAAAAAATAAATTAAATATTTTTTTATTTGCTATTATTAATTATTTGGGATTTGGTTTAGTAAAAAATAAAATGAAAATTAATAGAAAAAATATTTGGTTTTTGAATGGGGTTAAGTTTAAAAATTAAAATAAGTAGATAAGTTGTATTAATAAAATGTTTTGATTGGTGATTATTTTTGCTGAAGTGTCATGTTTATAAAGTTTTAAAAAGCTGAGGTGTCATTTTAAGGAGAGACAGAGGGTTATTATTGTATTGAGTTATGCATTAATTAATAATGCTCATTACTTTGTACATAGCACATGCGGGTAGTAGTTACTTAAACCTAATTAGTCCAGCTTTCTTATTTACGTCTTAAATACGATCTATTTTTCAGTTACGAATGAGCAAAAACGATTTTGTTAATAATAATTGTTCAAATTGATAACTAGTCGAACCGTTTGGTCAAGTAAGAATTTTCAAGTCCTACTACAGATTTGGGAGTTTCCTTTTGGCAATTAGTGCAATTTCTACTTTTATATAATCCTTTTTCGTGGCTCTTGTTGTTCTTTTTTTTTTGTCCCATTTTGAGTTGTCGAAATTTGGAGAATATCAACGAGTATTTTGAACATATACTACTTTTCTTGCATTAAAGATGATATATCGTACATAATTCAAGTAACTAAAGAAAACGCCATTGTAATGAAAACATCTTCTTGATCTTGATCAAATCGGAGCACTACGTCTGGAAGTAAATTTAGCTCATCATTGCTTCTCCAAGAGGCAAAGCCATGGCCTAGATTAGATATGCCAGCAATATTTTAAAACCTTTTATCCATGAATATTTGTATATGTTGATTTATATATTATTTATCTACTAGCCAAATCTTCAACTACAATTTAGTATAACAATCGAATAATATTTAACACTATAACTTTCATTAAACGTAGAGAAAACGATGGAAAACGAAATACAAGATTGGAAAATGATAATGGCCAATTGGCTAAGGTCTACTTCCAAATAGACATATTTGGATTTTTCTAACTAAACATCTAAATAAGAAATTCGATATGTTATTATAATTATACCCAAAAAAAAAAACTTGCGACTAATCTATTAGTGATAAAAACGTCAAAGTACAAACAAAGTGGGTATTAGGGAGAGTTTTCCTATTCTAATATCGGTTTCGAGATATAACATACGTCTTTCTTTTTGGTTGAGTTCTAACATACATCATAAATATCCCTTTGCCCAATAAAAATCTAAGAACATGAATCTGAAAATGTTATTGGCTTGAAAATAACTTGCAAGTTGCAACTGTATTAAAGAGCATTAAGTTCCAACAAATTTCGATCTTTTAGATGAGTGTTTCTTTACACGTCAGAAAGGGGGAAAAAACAAATATAGTAATAAAATTCTATTTTGACCAGTGGAATCCATTATATTTTGAGAGTAATCTGAGATGTGAGTTACAAAAATGTATATATTCTTATATATTAGATATTTTTCACAAATATAGTATATAACACACTAGGGTAAATCATATGCAAAACAAGAAAAAAAAAAAATAGACTTGTCAGTTCCATTCCGTGAAAACATCATCCTTTTGTCGGTCCACTTTCTATGGTGAAAATATTTGTCCACGCTCGTTAAAATACATCCACTCAAGTCTATATAACGCTCATGAAAGTTAAAGAAAACAATGTGAGGTACATTGAATAAGATAAAAACTTATAAGTAATTTGACTATTTATAAAATTTATTTGGTAAAATTGACAAAATGTAAACATATCAATTATCAAATGTGTTCATTTGGCATAGCATAGGACACCTATAATGTGTCAAGTTGTTGTTACTCGGACCGATGTGATACGAGCAAAACCTTTGTTCTCCTGTCGATATTGCTGAAAGTTCTCCAGAAAAAGAAAAACTTAACACAAATCCGGTTCGACCGACATTTTTGGGCTAATTCGTTTTTTTTTTTTTATCAGAGAGAGTGGCACAAAAAAGGAAATATTATATGATAAATAAAAGTAACTTGTAAACAACAAAGTTGAACAAACTATAAAACAGAAATTAACTTAACTGACGCATGAAATCGTTGAATTGACGAATACAAATATTTCTGTTCTGTCGGCAGAAATTCTACTGTGTCTTTGTTTTCCTCTTTTTAATCTTTAAATATTGTTGTTTCAATTTTCAACATAGCAAAAAGGTTATAAAAAAATAAATAAAGGAAAAAAAGAGTGAAATGAAGCGACCCACAAATTAAGGATTCACAGATTCAAAGGAACAAACCTGACTTAACTTTTCCTTTTTTCAAGTAGTACAAAAAGTCAATAGCAGCACTCTTCTGAAATCTTTGCGCTAATCAAGGCTCATATTCCTCACTTTTCTATTAAATATTTGTTTGTTAGAAGTTAATTATGGATGTCCATTTGCATACACAACATGAGCTTCGTGAATTAGAATAAAAGTTTCTGATTATTATCGTTTTACGGCACAATTCGATCAGTGGAGAAAGCAAACAAGAAAATGTAATAGCCTAAAGCTCTTCTGATAGATCAGATACAAAACCCAATAGTGAAAAATGTGCCGAGTTTCACTACGAAATTAGGAACTCTGAATTTAAAATAACACAAAAGTAAAAATAAAATTAATCTCGCAATGACACAATTGAAAAACATTGGAGCAGAAGATGTTGCTCCGATTTTATCATCCTCTATACAAACAGCTTTTTTTGTTTCCTGGAAACCCTAATAATCTCTTCTTTTTTGTTCTTATTTTCAACAAATAAATCTTCTAGACAATCTTGATCACTCGCTTAATCTCTGTAAATAATCTATGAACGATGCCGATTCTGGATTTTCAATCATAGTGTAATTGAAACGACATCGTTTTGGTGTTTGGGTTTTACCTGTCCAAGAATCAGTAGAAGGGTGGAGGTGGAGGAGAAGCATAGGATACTCCGATCACCGGCGGTAATGGCCCCTCGAATTCAGGTGGTGGAGGTGGAGAACTGTAATGGACTGTCGGTGGAGGCGGAGAACTGTAATGCATTGGCGGTGGCGGGGGAGAACTGTAATGCATTGGCGGTGGTGGCGGAGAACTGTAATGGACTGACGGTGGTGGTGGAGAGCTGTAATGTGGAGGAGGTGGTGAGTACTCTATGCAAGGAGG